TAAAGCAGCTCCTAGAACCACAGATAATCTTGTGGAACTGCCTGACTCAGGGTTACTCTGGAGCCACCAGCTTCAGCCTTTTTCCTTGCATTGTAATTCAAGACCAGAGTGGCATTAAGACAGAAGACCTCCCCCCACGCCCACGTCCACCCCTGTACTTCCCTGGGGCTGGGCGCCCTCCTTCCTGGCCAGGTCAGCTCTAGGGGTTGTGTGTGGTTTCACTGGAGCCAGAGTCTAGCAATAACTGTGCTTTCGATCACAGCCTGATAAATGTCCCAAAGACCTGACTCAGAATGACACTGAGGAAGTGGCACGGGGGCGGTGAGCCCGAAGACACGTGGCTGCCTGGCTGGCACTGGGCAAGCTCCCCTCCTGGCCCATCTGGGCCTCCCCTCCAGCACACCACCTCCAGGGTGGTCAGCCCCAGTGCAGGGAAGGTAGGGTTCTGGTGTACCGCAGCCTTCCTTTCTGGCCCAGCTAAGCAATACATGCCAGAGTCAAGCACCGCTGTGCCTGCAATTGTACACACGGCCCAATCTACCAGGTCCTTTGGCTACTGTGACTGGCCAGGGCCACCTCCCATCCCCCTCTGCCACAAGGCTGAGCACAGCAACGGTTCACCTGCCTTGTGGCTCTGACACATCGTGGCCTCCTACCCAAGCCCAGTTCTGAGACTGCTTGCACAAATTCTAAAAATTCACGTGGTCTCACTAAGCTCACTTGATGCCCTACAGTATGGGCCTCTCCCTTCAGTCAGGGCTCCCCGGGTGGGTAGGGACAGCCTCCTGTTCCCATCTTTGTCTGGCCAGAAGGGAAGGAGGCCTTCGTTATGATGATCCCATTTCTCCACGGGGCGACATATTTTCTCTTTCCCACTATTGTTTCAGTGCACAGAATCCCTCAATTAATATCAAAAAGCAACACAGCTCCCTAGTGAGGGCTTCTGCCTTGCTCAGGCTCCTAAATGCCAGGCAGCTTCTCAGTCTTCCTCTGAAAGGAGAGAAAGCCAGTGCCACCCTCTTTCAATGACACTGGAATTAAACCCATGTGCAGCAGTGGCCACATGCTAGGCCCAGGAGTTGCACTGAAAAATTCTAAATACCTGAGCATGTTACTCAGCCAAACTGAATGTCACTCATTACTCTAAAGGTATGCAAGTGTCGTGCGAACAGGGGCTGAGGGACAGCATGGAAATCCCCCTTGCTCCTTTGAGTTTGAACCAGGCTTCTTGCTTCTGTGTTGCTCCTTCCAAATGTCCAGACCACGCCCCATGAAAAGTACCATCGTCATCGAAGGAGTGTAGGGTGTGTTTTCCAAGCGTTTGCTTGGGATAAGTACCAAATTGCGGTAATTAACTGGGGAGGAAGCACCCCTGAGTCGATATGCATGCGGGCTGCTGCTGGCTTAGCCAAGGATTAGGAAAGGACCTTCACACCTTAGGCTCAAGGGCCATGCTATGCTTTGTGTCTAGTTGTCCCTGCAAAGCTTCATGCAGTCATGGGGCAGCTTCTGGAGTTTGTGATTGATTCTCAATCCAATGCTGGGATTGCAGGTGTGAGTGCTACACCCACCCTGGGATGGGTAATCTGCATTACAGTGTAAAGAGGCGAAAAGTGGCCAGCGAGCTGCCCGAGCTGCTGCCGCTCCCTTTGCTCTCTGCTCGTCACGCTTTGCTACCCCATGAATGGCTGCTCTGAGCCGCTCTGCCTTGGAGCCAGCCAAGTACGGACTAAAACCTCTACTAACTGTGAGTTAAATAAACCTTTCCTTCCTTAATTTGGAGTGTTGGGTATTTTGTCCCTGCACTGAGAAGAGAGTAACTAGGACATGCCATAGCACCTAGCTCAACATCTTTGCCTTTGTGTTTTTTTTTCCCAACAGACTACAACTTCAGAAATGGTAGACCTTGTCCATTTTATTTTATTTATATCTTTAAAAATTTCATACATTTGGTACAGAGTCTCACTGCACAGCTTGGACTCGAAGTGATATTCCTGTTTCAGCCTCCACAGTGCTGGGATTACAGGCATGTGCCACCATGCCCAGTCTTGGTGGCCATGGCTTGTTGGACCAGGGATGGAACCTGGGTCGTTGTGCTTGCATAGGCAAGCTCTTAGACCACTGAGCTATCTCCATGGCCCTGACGTTGTCTATTTCAATCCAAGATATTTCCAGTAAGGCATAGCACAATTATCAATAAATACTTGATAAGCGAGTAAGAAATGGATAGAAGCATAAGTGGATGGACGGACGGACGGACGGACGGACGGATGGATAGAGCTAAGTAAACTCATACTATGGTCACAAGTATTCATACTATGGTTTACATACATTTTCCATAGAAAACATCAGGAGCTGCATGTTGATATTCTGCAGAACTGTAGAGCAATTATCCCCCCTCTAATTTAGATGAATAAAGCCCCACAAGTGATTTTTAAGACATCTCTAAGACTAATGATCATACTTTCCTAAAGCAGTTCCTTTTCTGTTGACCCTTTATTCTGTGAATTTTCATTTCAAACATTTCTTCTGCCTTATTTCATCCCAGGCTTAGTTTTATGTATTGTTTGCTGTGTTGTCGATAAACTGCCCCAGACTCCGGGTGATAGGCCGTGTGTGAATTTTACCCGGAGAAACTCCACCGCTGTCACACCCACCTACCCAAGATATTGTTGAAGCCTGATGGGCGGGCTGGCCCTCCTAACAGAAGGCCCTGGCCAAGGGTGTCCACAGCAGGAGTCTACGTCCTTGTGGGTGTGGGTGTGGGTGTGGGTGTCAGTGTGGAAGGTGGAGGTACCCACAGCTGCAGGCTCTCTTCCTAGCTCTTGCCCTGCTGTCCGGGTTCTCACAAGGCCTTTGCTGCAGAGAGGAAGAGGGGGAGAGGGAGGGGACAGAGGAAAAGAGGATTGGAGCCCATTTGATTTTACTTCCTCACTTGATTTCCATATGTCCTTAAAAATCTCATTTCCAAATACAGTCACATTAGAGACTAGGGCTTCAATATATGAAATGGGGGGGGGGGACACAATTCAGTCCACAACATACAACAGTAGGGTTCCAACACTCTTCAAATATCTTTTTTTTTTTTTCAATAAAAAGCTTTCATAAGAAATCCCCTTAAACTTCTTTGAAAATAATTTCTTCTAAGGATTCACAATCAGCATAGCCCTTCAGTGACCGGCTTCACGAAGAGCCAATCACCGTGCATAAGTTTCAGGGTTGGGCGGTGATGCGTGTGTCCCGTGAGCTGTGACCCAGCTCTGCGCGCTTGTTCTCTCTGGCCTTCCTTCGAGGTCCTCCCTGACTCTTCCCAGCACTGTATCTTCCTCTTGGTCCTTGCTCCTGTCACACGGCACAGCTCTTCACGTGGCTTCCTCACGGCACGGCCCTACTTTGAGCGGCGCTCTCCTGCACTGAAAGGTGCAGTCTTGCAGCGCTGTCCGTGGCGTTTTCATGCTGACCCCGCCCTGCGGGCTCGCCTCTCGTGGGTTCTCAGACCCTTAGGATCCATCGCCAGATCATCTCAGCAGGCTGCAGTAGCACTGTCCCTGTCGCTGTGCTGGGGTGGCCGGGCCTGGCTTTGCATCTTCGGCACTCTTCGCTGCTCCTTCAGCTTTCCCAGGTTCGTGGCCTTCTGAATGCCCAGCGGCGGCAGAAGCACGTGTGAGGCCACGCCAGAGTCAAAGCATTTTCACCGTTTGTTCTGAGAGGCCCAAAAGGAGGGGGGTCGGGTGCTGTCCTGTGTTACTCCTGAAGCCTTCATTCTCCTTGTGCAGTAAGTGCCAGGTCTCCTACAGCGCCTGGTCCTCGTGACTTAGGAGTGTGGCCGCTGCCGCCAGGCAGGTCTCCTGACTTCTGATTCTGCCGGCTGCTGCAGCTGGAGCCCAGCCAGGCCTTGAGGAAAGCCCTGAGTTGCTTCACCCCCTCACACTGCCCGTCACCCTCCGGGCAGGGCTCAGGCTCGCATCCCCCAGGCTTCAGGGGTCCGAAGGCAAATCTCTTCGATGACAACTCTTATTAGGAGATGAAGAGTGCCTCCCTGGTGGGGCCGTACCCAGGCTCTGGAGAGGGTTAGGGGAAAACATTAATCAGGTGGGTAGCAAATATTCTGCCCAGCTTTCCATGACTGGGGTCAGAAAGTCGACGGGCACAAACCTTCAGAGTAGAGCTGCAGGGCATTTGAGGGGTGGCGTCAGGTCTGCCCATGTGAAAAGCAACCCATTTTCCTCCCCATTCCCTGCCGGCATTCCCCCACTCCGCTTCCTCCCCTTGACAACGGCGCCTGGTCCTGGAAGCTGAGTGACAGCTACCAACTTCCTTCTTTCTGACACCACCAAACATGAAGATGTGCGCACCTGGTGCAGACAAGAGGTGCCAGAGCCACACCTGCCTCAGCTCAGCCCCAGCCCCAGGCTCCCCAGGAGAGTTGGGCAGGAGGTCTCGCCCACTTCAGAGGTGCAAGGGCAAGTCCTCAGGCTCTCTGGTTCTCAGATACCCAGCACTGAAGGGAAGTGGGGCCACACGCATGGCTGGGACTGTACATGCTCAACATTATGTGCAGATGTCCCCAACAGAATACGTGGACACAAGGCCTGGTGAAGTGACACACATCCACCATCAATCACCAGGCTCTTTCTTCTGAGAAGGATACCCAGAGGATATCATCTCTTCTGGATTGATCATTTTAAAAGTGCCAAAATCAGGAAGTAATAAGGTTTCATTTCTCTGATGATTTTTCTCTTCCCACAGGAGCAAGTTGTACTCAGAATGATGTCATATCTTTGCTTCTGAAAGGAATAACCCTTAAGAATAAATACAGGGTTGTCCCAGTTACAGAAATGGATATTTTAAAATTCCAAACATGCAGTCTCTCCACTTGCGACTAGAAACGTGGAGGGGGATTTTGCAATAAAGCTTATACCCCAAACCAGTAACCTTACTGCAATTGAAATTTCATTTTTGAAATGACTTTTTTTGTTCTCTGTTCTTTCACAGTAGAGATGTTGCCTTTGAAAAATCTATTGATTATAACAGCATCATCCAACAAGAAAGAACTGTGAGTGTTCAATAAGATATATTGTAATAGAACAGTAATGTTTGGTGATTACTTAGTTAGACAACCGTTTTTCTGTGTGTTACATTTTTATTATAAGTGGCCCTTAGCCACTCAGCCTCTTGATCTTGACTGTTGGGATTTCCCTGGGCAGCCAGCCCTGCTTGGGACATGCTGTCCAGCTGCATGTAAGCAGTCTGACTGGACTTCCAAGGTGTGAGGATACTGGGGAGCGGCAGACTTTGTGGGAGGGAGATAAGTCTACGCGATGGCGTGCTGATGTTGGGTGGAGGAATTTGGATCTGACTCAAGAGACCGCCTTAACACCCTTAAAGTGTATTCAGAAGGAGAATTTCAAGACGTATTGGCTGGCAACCCACTCAGGACCCCTTCTGTTTCACTTAAAGGAAAGCTTTCTTTCTGCAATGAATATATTTTGCTCTTAACCTTAAAAAAAGTCATACTGGCATTGGAGGTAATACTTCTGGGAGCGGAAGCACCGATGCGTGCAGGAGGATGGATGGCGCAACCAGGAGGGTGGATGTGCCCTCGGTGGTGCCCTCCAGTGCTGCTATGTAGTGTGCTGCTCTGGTCACCTTTCTAGCACTGTAACAGAACACCTGAGACAACTTTAAAGGAGGAAAGGTTGTTGGGCATGGTGGTGCAGTCCGGTAATGCCAGCATTCAGAGGCTGAGGCAGGAGGCCTGTGAGTGTGGGCACAGCCCGGGCAACTTATGAGGCTCTGTTTCATTTTTTAAAAATTTAATAAAAGGACTGGGAATGTAGCTCAGTGGGAAATCCTTAGGTTCAAACCCCAGTAACAGAAAAGAAAAAAAATGGAATAAGAAGGATAGGAAGAGGAAGAGGAAGAAGAATGAGGAGGAGAAAAAGAGGAAAAAGAGGAAGAGAGGGCTAGCCAAATAGCTCAGCAGATTAAAGCACATGCCTGCAAGCACAGGGGCCAAGGGTTCGATCCCTTGGCCTGTCATGTCAGCGAGACTGGGCGTGGTGGCACATACCTGTAATCCCAGATCTTGAGAGGTTGTATTGTATTGTATTGTATTGTATTGTATTGTATTGTATTTATTTGCGGAACCAGGGATTGAACTCAGGCCCTTGCGCTTGCCAGGCAAGTGCTTATTCTACTGAGCCATCTCCCCGGCCCTTTGGGAGGTTGTAAATAGGCAGATCACTATGAGTCTGATCTAGTGGTGAGACCCTGAACACCCTGTAGACCCTTCCCTAAAATACAAAATAAATAAATAAATAAAACTTAAATCCTCATCTGCTCAAAACTCAGAAGAAGAGGAAGAGAGGGGCTGGGGAGATAGCTCAGTACAATAAGCACTTGCCTGGCAAGCGCAAGGTCCTGGGTTCAGTCTCTGGTTCTGCAAAAAAAAAAAATAAAGAAGAAGAAGAAGGGGGGGGAGGGGAGGAGGAGGGAGGAGGGGGGAAGAGGAGGAGGGAGGAGGAAGAGGAAGGAGAAGGAGATGGAGAAGGAGAAGGAGAAGGAAAAGGAAAAGGAGAAGGAGAAGAAGAAAAGACGAGGAGGGTTTACACTGGCTCACGTCTGGAAGTGTCAGTCTGTCATCAGCTGGCCTGTGCTTCCGGCTTGCACATCATGGCAGGCAGTGATCGGCAGAGCAAAGCTCTTTTCCTCATGGCTGGGATGTGAAAAAAGGAAGAGAAGAGCCCAGGCTGGCCCGATCCCCTTGCGGACACACCCCCAAAGACCTGCCGGCCTCCCATCAGGCCCCACCTCTTAAAGCTCCACATCCTTCCCATAGCACCACAGGCTGGGCCCCAGGTTTAACACCCAGGCCTCTGTGGCCTTTTAACATCCAAACTGTAGCATGCCTGACCACAGAAGGCTGCATAGACTCCAACTGTAGCAGCTCTGTGCCACCTTTTACTTCAGATTTCTCATGGTGATGTGAAGAAAATACTTCAGTTCATTACATCTAATCCTCCCCCCGGGGCTTCAGTGGTACAGTGCGTCTTAGTGGGTACAAGGCCTGGGTTCAATCTCAGCACCAAAAAATTAAAATTAAAGGTAAAATTAAAACTAATGTAGAATTAGTTTTTGAAAGGCCGGTTCCTTTTGGTGTGTAATGAAAACTTATGCCTGTAAGTAATTTCTATACAAGAAGGGACACAAGGGAGTTGCCTCCAGGAACTCGCAAATCGGCCTTTTAAGATGTTTTGTGGGGCTGGAGAGATGGCTCAGTGGTCTAAAGCACCTACTTGAATCAAGCTTGGCGAAGCACAGGGACCACGGTTCGATCCCCAGCACCACATGCCAGCCAGCCCCGCCCCCTGGTGGGCTGAGCTGGCCACACACACACACACAATAAATAAATGTAATAA